ACTCCTAATGCTATCTCCACCGAAGCCTAGAACTCCAAGAACCAAGCTTCACACAAAATCTTCCTCCACCAAATCCAAAACACCATAGATCTAAAATCTGGGTTCTAATACCACTTGTTGCGTGCATCAAAAATTTCGACAGTATTTCGACAGCATAACAAGAGAGTCAGATCGCAATAAGAATTCCTGTCTCACCAAGGAAACAAGAATCTGAAGCGAATATCTCAACAAAGTGAGATATCGGCTCTTCCTTTCATCAGTTCTAGGACTGACCTGTTGAGGGATCCTAAAAACTATTACAAATCACATAAATAGCAGTACAATTAATTTTTACGTGGTTCGGCAAATTGTCTACGTTCACGGGGCAAGGAGGGGGGAGATCTACTATTAGAGGGAAAGAATACAACTAGGGTTTACAATCACTCAATCTAAACTCTCACACAATCTTTCAAACCTCTCACAAAACTCTCTCACAGGGATGCACAAAACCCTAAAAGGGACTGCTCAAAATCCCCTAGCCGCTGCCTGCGTTTTTATTCTGCAGCCGCAAAATCAAAGTTTTTCTCCTGCTGCAATTTTCTCTCAAAGCCGCAAATCAAACAAATCAACCTCCTGCCTTTGCTCAAAACCCTAGGAGAGAACTAGGTACCTTTTATAGGCTGGTGTACTTCACGCGTTAAACAAAACCGACTCGGTTTTGTTCTCTGCTTCGTACGCGGAGATGTCATGTGGGTGGGGGCCCACGTCCGCTCATAGTTACTTGGTTATACTTGATGAAAAATAAGAGTGAAGTATTTGGTTGCTTTCAAAACTTTCATAGGTATGCTCAGACTCAATACGGGGCTGTGGTGAAGGTATTGAGATCTGATAATGAGACAAAATATACTAACAAAGCGTTTGGGGAATACAACACCAGACTACATGTCCATACACACCAGCTCAAAATGGGGGTAGCGGAAAGGAAGAACAGACATCTTTTAGAGGTTATTAGAAGTATGATGATCTCCATGAATGTTCCAGAAATATTATGGGGACAAACAGTGTTGACTGCAACAACACTAATCAACAGAATGCCCTCGAGAGTGCTAGATTGGAAGTCTTCGTGTGAGACGTTGAAGGGAGATAATGGTGGGCTTCTTCCACTCAAGGTGTTTGGTTGTGTGTGCTTTGTGAAGGACAACAGACCATCCGTCGGGAAGCTTGCCCCTAGAGCGGTGAAATGTATCTTTGTGGAATATTCTGCTACTCAGAAGGGATATGTTTGCTGGAGCCCGGTGGAGAAAAGGTTGTTTGTGAGCATGGATATGCACTTTCGAGAACTAGAACCATATTACACCCGGAAGGTAACTTCATCCGTTGGTAACTCACCTAATACTGGAAGTATGAGGCGAGAGGAGGAGAATGTTGAGAGATCGTTGAATGTGGAGAAATCAATTTCTGTAACGATTCCTTGGGAAGGAGAATTGGTTGAGAAGGAGCAGGAGAATAGAGAAGAAGAGGAGAATGAGACAAGAGGTGTTAGGCTCACGGCTCAGGGGGAGCTACTTACCTATAGTAGGAAGGGGAAACAAATTGCGGGAACAGTACCTACGCTGCCACTGGTGCCAAGTTCCTTACCAACGCCTGCCCCGACTCCTGAGATACCTACACCACCACCAGATTCCTCTCAAGGTGATATCATTTCTCTCCTTACTCCTCCCACACCAATGTCTGTACGGAGGACTACTCGCAGTAATACGGGAAATCTTCCCGATAGATATGGTTAGGATCTTGCCCACTTTGTATCATATTCTAACATCCATCCTGCACGTGGAGCATTCATTGCATCACTGGACTCTGTTACTATACCTAACAATTGGCAGGTTGCAAAGAAGGACCCAAAATGAAAAGATGCTATGCACGAAGAGCTAGAGGCCCTTAAGAAGAACCGCACTTGGGAGTTAGTAAAACTACCAAAAGAAAAGAGAGCAGTTAGATGCAAGTGGGTCTTCACTGTGAAGCAGAATCCAGACAGACAGGTTGAGCGCTACAAAGCTCGTCTGGTGACAAAAGGATATAGTCAGACATATGGCATCGACTATGATGAGACTTTTGCACCGGTGACGAAGATGAGCACTGTTCGGACCTTGATCTCCCTGACAGTAAATGATGGATGGAAGCTACACCAATTAGATGTGAAGAATGTATTTCTTCATGGAGATCTGGTGGAAGAGCTATACATGGAAATTCCGCCAGGATTCGACACAGATCAGACAGTGGGCAATGTCCGCAGATTAAAGAAGTCTCTCTATGGGCTGAAACAGTCTCCCCGTGCTTAGTTCGATAGATTCAGGAGGGCTATGCTAGGTATGGGGTACCAGCAGATTAACGCCGATCATACCGTGTTCTTTCAACGAATTGAAGGCTACATCACTATGCTTGCAGTATATGTGAATGATATGATTATTACAGGGGATGATGAGAAGGATATTGCCCAACTCAAAGTAAAACTGGGTAAGGAATTCGAGGTGAAAGATCTTGGCTTACTTCGATACTTTCTTGGAATAGAGATAGCTCGAGGAGCGGAGGGGATTATCCTATCACAGAGAAAGTATGCAATGGATCTTCTCAAAGAGACAAGGATGTTAGGGTATAAACCTGCAACTACACCGATCGACCAGAAATTCAAGCTGGATGCTGAGGCTGGAGAACCAGTTGATCGTGACAGATACCAGAGACTGGTGGGCAGGTTGATCTATTTGAGTCACACATGTCCCGTTATCTCTTTTGCAGTGAGCGTGGTGAGTCGCTATATGCATGATCCGAGGAAGAGTCATATGGACGCAGTGTACCAGATTCTGAGGTATTTGAAGAGTGCCACCGAAAAATGGCTGATATTCAGAAAAAATAAACATATGAGCATTGAAGGTTACTGTGACTCGGATTGGGCTAGCTGTGCTGATGACAGGAGGTCCACCTCAGGATACTGTATCTTTGTAGAAGACAACTTGGTCTTGTGGAAGAGCAAGAAGCAGTCAGTGGTGGCGAGATCAACAACTGAAGCAGAGTATAGAGCTATGGCCTTGGGAGTTGTGGAGTTGTTGTGGTTGAAGAGTATGCTGATGGAGCTGAAGCTAGATTAAGGAGCAAAGATGAAACTGTGGTGTGATAACAAGTCAGCCATCAGTATCGCCAATAACCCAGTGCAGCATGATAGAACCAAACACATCGAGATCGATAGGTTCTTCATCAAAGAGAAGACACATCGAGATCGATAGGTTCTTCATCAAAGAGAAGTTGGACAGTGAACTACTGGAGTTAAGTCATGTTTCAACTAAAGACCAGACAGTAGATTGTCTGACTAAGGGACTTAGCTCAGTAGATATGATTAGATGATGTGACAAGATGGGCTTAGTGGATATCTTTCGCCCATCATGAGGAGGAGTATTGACATATTAGTATAGTTAAGAGGCCTGTAAGATATGCTTATAAGGCCTATATAAGCCCATATTATCTCATCTATGGAATTAGGGTTTCATATATTTTCTACAATTTCCTAACCGTGAACTTTAAATTAAGCATGATTCTTATTTACTATGAGTGCTGAAAGAAAAGCAAGGAAATTGTTTTTTTCTCCACTCAAATGGAGAATGATTCAAAAAAAAGGGGCAAAAAGGGCCTTAGGCCATATTAAAAAGGGAATGAAAGGAATTAAATGCAACGTACTCACAACTATGTCTAACTCAATTAACATAATTTTATTTCTATTTTATAATAAATATCTATTAAAATATAAATTATAACATATTGTAGATGAAATATCAGAGCAGAGAATTTACGTTCCAATAATTATAACTATACCCTTTTTCAAAATCATATACCCTCTATTATTAAGATAGTTGGTTCTATTATGGCTTCGACAATCCTGAGTTTAATACCAAGTTGAGTTATATATAAATAAAAAAGCCAAATTATCATATTTGTTATTTTTAGTAGGACCCTGTTTTAACTGTTTATAATGTGGTTTTTTTCTCTTTTTTTTTCCCCTTTCACTAGTGGCATTATGGCATTAATATTGAAATGCGTACAAATCTGGTTGTCGTCAAATGTCGACATTAGCACCATCATATTGTAAGTGAAACAGGGGAAAATTCATATTGTAAATATCATCATATTATATTAAAAAGGATAAGTTTTAAAACAGACCATTTTGAAAACTTTTTTTAAAAAAACGACCCCCTTTTAAAAATATTTATCATTTTCGACTCAGTTTCAATCGCTGACTGAAACTGGATCGAAAGTGGCGAAAAAACATCAAAAGCTTCACGGGATTTAAATCCCGTGAATTCTAAGACCTCATCAGCGCTAACCCAAACGCTAATGAGATCTTAAACCTCACGTGATTTAAAATTTTATAAAGTTTTTGATGTTTTCATGCCATTTTCGACCCAGTTTCAACCAGGTGGCTAAAACTAAATGGAAAATAACAAATATTTTAAAAAAATCACTTTTAAAAAATAAGTTTTTAAAAAGACCTATTTTAAAAATTTATCCTATTAAAAATAACAATAGGGTAATTTAGCTCACTGCCATCATTATCAAGACCTGACATAGTGACATGTGACTGGACCGCGTTAGACAAAAAACCCCATAAAAATAGCGAGAGGCGCTACAGGCACACTCTAAGGCACACCACCAACCACACTCCCTCTCTCTCTCTACAGTGCAGGGGGCCCCACATGTGATTTTTTTAAAAAAATCACATGTGAGGCCCCTGCACTGTAGAGAGAGAGGGAGTGTGGTTGGTGATGTGCCTTAGAATATGTCTCTATCATTTCTTAAAAATAGCAGTAACCCCGGACCCAGCGTCGCTGTCAAAACTCTTAAAAGGGGAAAAAACAAAGAAAATACAGTTCAACTTGTCGAGTGATGGGGGCATACTAAAAGCGAATTTACTGCAGTCCTGTCTTTTCCTAAAATGACAACGGTACGATAACAAGGGGCAGAATCGTAAAATCCACCTGAATTCACGCCGGCGAATCTGAGCGCCTCCTCAACCATCCGAATCTGAGCCGATCGGTGATCCGATATATCGGCAGACACGCCCTTATCGTAGTATCCATGGTGCATGTGGTCACCCCAGATATTCTCCCAGAGCCCCGATGACTCGTCGTAGAACTCGGCGATTCCCTTCTTCAGCCCATCACTCGCCGCCGTCTCCGCCGCCGCCGCCATTGCTCCTGACATTTGGTTTGCTCTGCACGTGATGGTTTGTTAGTTCGCACGAACCGGAGACTGGTCCGATGACTTGATAGACGAAAGCGGCGGAGTTGGATTCGCTTCGATGGAAGCTAGATCGCACGTGCGGAGGAGGAGAGAGCAAGGGTCGTTGTTGATGAGGCGTATTGGGAAATGATTTTTTCGGGGATGAGGAAGATTCTGGGGGCAATGTTTTTTAAAAGAATCGTCGGTCAGTTTTCTATACAAGGGTAAAATCGCAACTAACTTCTCACATGTATACCTCCAGCTGTGCAAAAGAATATTCATAGCCGCATATATATCCATTACAGTTATAAGGGTATAATTACTAAATATTTGTATCTGACATGATATAATCATGGGAAAAATGCTTCCAGCCCCCAAAACGAATGAAAACAAGCTTCCCACCCCCAAGACTTTTTCAACGGGTGTTTTGCTCCCAAAAGTAAATTTTTTGTTCTCTGAGCCCCCAAACACAAAGCCCAATGAATTTCACACAGGGAAAGACTATAATACCCATTCTCTCTCTCTCTAACCCTGCAATCCCTCTGCTCTCCCTCCTCCCTCCCCCACCTCTCCACCCGCCGCCGCCGCCCTCCTCCTGCCATCCTCACCTTCTCTGCCGATCGTCGCTCCGGCCTCCACAGCATCCGTTGACAGGATCCCAACGGGAGAAACCTCGGCGCGGTTCGCAGGAGTACAAAGAGATAGTGCCGACTCCAGGCCGAGCGAATACTCCGGCGATGCAGCGCTGTGCATAGCCGACGGGAACAAAGGCGCACCTGGTTTTATCTGTCTTCTGATTCTCTGCCGAGCTTGGCGTTTCATAGGGGAGCGTTCGGGAGCCGGGCAGGGAGGACCTGTTCAATGGCTGAAGCGTGGAGTCAGCGTGGGGAGCGACCTGTTCTCATGGGGCGATCGTCGGGGCGCGTCGCCGGAGGGACTCGCACCAAAAGCAACGATAATAGAAGAAGTAAGGACAGATTTTGATAGGTATATTTATAACCATGCCCCTCTGAAACGCTTGGCTGCTCCTGCTACTTGCGATAGTTCAAGAGCTTCTGCGGACTCGTTGCGAATTGCTCACGTCCACTGCTGAACCGCACGTAACTATTGTTACTCAGATGTCTTGCGCGAATCTCATGCGGATTGAGCCTGAATGTCTCTGTGAGTGAGCTAACCACAGATGTATGAATATCTGTTTTGTAGGTTCCTTATGTACGGGGGCTCACATAGATCAAACCTATAGGGTAGGAGCGACGTTGGGTATTGGAAGCCGTAGAGAAGTCTTTCTGATTTGATGTAGGTTGTTGGCGAAAAGAGATGAGTGTACGCGACTCCCATGTGGCGAAGATATACAGTGTTTTTGGAGATGTTGAATGTGCCAAGATGGCCCTATGGTGCGATGGTGGGGGATAGAGTGTCCCCGAGTGGGTCTTATGCAGGTCTCAGCGCAGATAATTGCCTATCGCACGATTAGGGGTAAGAAACTAGCCCAATAGGTCCAACAAAATAAACTTTTAAATAAGCGCCAAATAAAAATGGCTAATGCCTGCGTATGGTGACGGTACAAGCATATAACTGTCCCCCCCGCACATAATAGGAATGTGTTTCTGGCAGGATGACAGGATTGGTATTGTTAAGGGGTCTAAATTAGCCAAATGAGGTGTATGTTGGGTTAGTTAGTGGTGATCTTACGGCGATTGGCGATGGATTTCCGTGTGAGGTTTTCCGTGTCATGCTTCATGCTTGGGTGTCTAGGACCGTGTGTGAATATGTGAGGACTGCTTAATAGTTTTGTGATGTCTTTTCCTTACGGCCTGATGCAGGTTGGGGGTTTGTTACGAGTACGGGTTGCGATAGGCTTGGATAAGCCCTTAGAGCGTGAGGCTTGTGTTTTGGGAACTGTTGTTGTGTACGGGTCGCTGTACATCGTTGGAAAGTGGTTTGTGTTATCGGTCAATTGGTGTGAGATATTGAATCAATTCCTTGGTGTATGTTGTGTGGTAGATATTGTGTATAGGCCGTGCCATGTGTGGAGCTGTGTGGATTTGGGAGTCTAGTCCGTGAAGTTTCATACGAGATAGCGCGGATTTTTCCCACAACTGAGACGAAAACCAACTCTTATCTTAGTGGAAACATTTTAGGAAGGCGAACTCAGGACCTCAAGGTTACTTTCGAAAAACAAACATAATATGTAAAGAAATACTAAGAGAAAATACAAAAATAACGGCGCCCGCAGTGATACGGGACGTATCGCGATAAATCGGCATCTAGATCCACGTTATCATTGCTGGAGAGACAGCACCGAGACAACTCTTGGTGTCCAGGTTGCTTACGTAGGATATTCAAAACGGGCGACGTAATGCGCAGACTATGTTGAGTGTAACACAGCAACTGGTATAACCTTAACATGCCAACACGTAGGTGTTCTAGAGCCGGTTTAACATACAGGTAAACAACATACAACATGCAGGCTCCTCTGATATAGCGGGTAATAGGAAAGGCAGCCGTTAACGCTTTAGTGTGAAACTGAGTTTACTGCGGGTTGAGCTCTGATTCTGGAAGTAGGATCTATCCTCCTCTCTTTTTT